TTTCAGAAAAAGGTCTTTTGAATAATACTAGAAATATATTATTTTCCAACATGGAAATGAAAAAAATAAGGAATAACCTAATTATGCTTATATGATATGTGAAAGAATATTCAGTTATTGTGATAAGATAATTTTATTCCGATCTACTACTTGGTAAATAGAATTGTAATGTTGCCAAGGGTCTGTCCTTATTTATTTAAATTCTTTACTAATTGAAACTGGTTTGTAGAAATAAATGTTAAACTTACTCACAATCCTATTTTGTTTAGATTATGACACCGGTTTCGACCAATACAATTTTCTGGTCATCCGCAGTTCTCTGGACAAGTTAAATTAAAATGATAGTGGTGCAAGGATTGTTGTTAAAAATGCGTGTACAGAACGCTTATTTATGCTATAACGGTTTCTGTAAGTCTTCAACTTTTTATACATAGAAATATTAGGGATGTTTCTTAAGGAGACAGTCTGAAAGATCCTTACTGTTGCAGTTAGATATAAGTAAATTGAATTTGGTGTCATTGATTGTAAGACTAGATGTGATCTTATATTTATGAAGTTATTTATATTTATATTAGAGGTATATTTTATAAAATATATTATTTTATTTATTAAAAAAAAAACAATTTGCTAAATAACTATGATGTGATATGCTAGTTTTAATGGAAATGATTAGGATGAAAATTGTATATCCTAAGGTGGTTTTCTAAACAGAAGATAAGTAAACTGAAAACCCTCATTTGAGTGTATGTAGACTATGAGATTGCTTATAGTAAAACATGTAAAAATAATGGGTCACACACAAGACACTATACAAATCACTGCTCACAATTTAGCAGCTTATTGTGTATATGGAAGGAGCAAAAAAATTGTAAGAATATATACAAAAGTCTTGGTGGAGAACGTAAGCACTTTATACAGGACAAAAATTTAAAAATTCTTGATACTTTGCTGCGTTAATTGTGCCTTCCACCACTTCATATTATCCTAAACCCGCTGATGATATGCAGCCTCAAATCATAATTCCTTTGGGAAACATCACAATTCTTTTGAGGCAATCTTTATAGAATGCTTAATTTTTACTTCAGGATAACCCATTTTTGAAAGTCCCCTAAGACAAAACAAACATCATCAAATTTTGCTCAAAGATTTAGATCAAATAGTCACTCTAAACCAGTCATCAACGGTCCAAGAAAATTTTAAGCTACCGCTTCAGTTCGGCAAGATCGAAGATTTGATGGACCTTTGATGTTTGATCCAGAGTCATATTCAGAGGCGAATCAAAATTTGATGTTTTGCTTGGAAGATTTTCGAAAATGGGTTATCAGAAGTAAAAATAAAGCACGTCATAAATATTGCTTAAAAAGAACTGTGAAGTTTCTCAAAGAAATTATGATTTGAAGGTACTTGTCATCAGTTGGTCTAGAAAGATATGAGTTGGTGGAAGGAACAATTATCGCAGCAGTTAAAGTATCGAGACATTTTGAAAAATAGTCATGTACCAAGTGCTCACGATCTCTGACAATACTTGAATTTTATATTCCAGCAGGACGGTGCTGCATGCCATATAGCTAACATAACTAAAAAATGGTTTGAAGACAATAACATTAAAGCCAACTTATGGCTTTAGAACAGTCAATACCTTAATGTTATTGAGTCATTGTGGCATAAGATAAAACAAAAATTTCGTAATGACCCCCTAGAGAACTGTTGTCGATATGAAGAATAAATTAGGTGAATTATGGGATAGGTTTGACCCTGATTTGTTTAAATCTTTTAGTACGAACAATGCCAGACAGAATTGCGACGATTGTAAAAGCACGTGACGATGTAATCCCATATTGAAATAGTAACTTATTGAATTGTCCAACGTTTCGATTTTAGAACAACTTAAAGTAAAGGACAGATTGCTTAAACACATACATCAGAGATATTTGCAGTATTTTGGACACATTGCTAGAAGAACAGGCACAATGGAGAAACTGATAGTCAAGGGTACAGTTTAAGGAAGAGACCTAGCGGAAGATCTAAGAGCCGTTAGATAGATCAAACAAAAATATTGATTCACTAAGGGTTACATGAAGCCGAAAAACTAGTCCAGGACAGGAAAGGATGAAGCGAAATCGTGAAAAAACTGTAAAGGCCTGATGGTGTCACCACATCATAAAAGGGATTCGGATTGAAGAGGAGGATAGAGTTTAATGTATTGTTAATCTTGTTCTTTGGTTTAATAAGTAAAGTTGTGGAGATAAACGTCTTCAATAAATTTTCGCTTGTCCAAGTATTTAGTTGTTAGGGCTCGTATAAAAAATGTGAAGAATTAGACAATACACAGTTTGGATTTAGAGGTGGAATGGGAACAAGAGATGCATTGTGTGCAATGACGGTACTATTACAAAAATACAGAAAATATATGCACTGAAACACATACACCTAGATCCCAAGAATATTAATTTAATCAAAAGTCTACATACAAAAACATACATCTGACATGGGAGAGTAAACCGTTAGATACGGTCGACAAGGGTAAATACCTAGAAGTAATTATAAACTTGCGGTTAAATCAAGATAAGGAGATAAAGCCTAAGATTGAAATAGCTCGAAAAGGATTTATAAAATACAAGTCAATGTTTACATATGAGAGATTGAATATAATTATCAGATTAAGATTCATAGAATGTTATGTATGGTCACAACTGCTACATGGGGTAGAAGCTTGGACTCTAAAAGCCCAATCCATAAAAAAATTAGGGGCATTCAAAATGTGGCTATATAGGCGTATTCTAAAAATTCCTTGGACGGTAAAAGTCTTAAACGAAGAAGTGTTAAGACGAGTTGGATATGGCAGAAAGCTTATGAACACATTTAAAATAAGAAAAACGTCGTATCTTGACCAGATACTTCGAAACGATAAATAATCTTGTTATGAAGCTATTTTCTTGTGGCATTTGAGGGTAATTACTATTTAAATGAGAATAAGTCACAAATAAAGGTTAAAGTGTGTTTATTGACGTTTCAATTTCCACTTTGGAAATCGTTCTCAAAATACAAACATGGTTCAATCTTTCTCAAAATGCAATCATTGAACGATGTTTGTATTTTGAGAACGATTTCCGAAGTGGAATATGAAACGCCAATAAACACACTTCAACCTTTAATTGTGGCTCATTCCCATTTAAATATTAATTACAATAAATAATCTCGTCTACACGTCATCATTCAAGGAAAAGTAGAGGGAAAAACGGCTTGGAAAGAACGAAGAAATATTTGCTGAGGAATATCAGAGATTGGACTAACCTCAGTGTTGAATAGATATTTTACGTTGCAAAAGATAGGGAAGCGTTTACAGAAGTGATTGCCAACCTTCGTTAGAAGATAACACAATAAGAGAAAACCAGTTTGAAATGGACTCACATGTGTAACCAATCCATTTAGTCCAAGACACGATGGTAAAAAAATAGTACAAAACCTCTGATTTTTTTAAATTCATTGATTTGCTTTAAAATTTTGACAGTAGTTAAAAATAGCTCAAATATCAAAATCTACCCTATGCCAATATGTGCTTTACCTCTGGATGTGGTTACCGCCCCAACTCAGAGATGGAAAAAGCTTATCAAAGCTATTTTCTTGAGGAATCTTAATGCAATTACTATTTTTCGTTGGAAACAATCCACAATACCATTATAAAATAAGTTTAATGACGTTTCAATTTCCACTTCGGAAATCGTTTTCAAAATACAAACAATAATATATTAACCAAAGTTTGTTTTTTGCTGCTTAGTGAAAATTCTTTATTTAATTTTATCTAACTCATTCATATTGACAATTCAGACATACATTATACATTTGAACAAATATTATACATTTTAAAGTAGACGACTTTAAAATGATATTGCCAATATTGTTGAGTTTCGTTACTGGAAGGACTTTATTGTAAGATAGTTCATTCGATTGCATAAATTCAATAAATGATAGTTTAACTTTAACTTGAGAATACCCGTCAGAAAAAATCATAGCATGTGATCTGTCTAAGATAACCACATACAATGATAACAGTAAAATTCTTTCGTTAGTGATTCCATAGTAAAACATGAGGAAAAAGAAATTGAAAAATTTACTCTCAATAAACATGTGTTATATAAAAAACATAAATTATGTGTCCTCGATGTTATTGATTTAATTAATAATAGTTTACTTACTTTATAAAACCATCATATCCTGGAGTAACTATTTTCTTTACTAATTATTTATTAGTAGAAATACGAGAAATTGAATTAGTAAACAGTTTATTAGAAGTCCACAAGTAATATAAATAAAGCAAATTATACCTAGAAATTTAGATTTCTCACCTTATGATTCTATCTATGCTTAAGTAAACGGTGTTAAAATATAGAAAACTGAATGGAAGTTACAAGATCATTTTGAAGAAAGTTTGAAATATTAAGCACAATACTTCCAAGATAAATAAGGTTTAAAACAGGAAGTGAAGCAGCAGTAAAGTGATAAAAGAAGCAGTAGTAAAGTGGTACAAATAAGTTTAAAAATGGACGAAAGTAATAAACATAGATGTGAGTTTGGTTATTGCCTGGTCTAACGTACAAATATGAAGTAAAAATAATATATGAATGTTTATTTAGTTCATATCAAAATCTTTCGGCTTCTATTCTTAAATAAAATACTGTGTGTTTTACCGCATCTGTATATAAAAGATTAAAAAAAATAAATATATTGACATAGTGTTTATATTGAATGAATAAATTTGAACTACAAAACTATTGTACTAATTTTGTTCCATTCAATTTATTATTGTCATTAAGCCCCTTAACCAATCATTTTAAAAAACCGTTAAACCATTGCGCAGTAGTTGCAGAACTAAAATAGAACACCTTCACCAAAATTAGTATCCAAAGAAGGTAATCCACAAATTGGCGATGAACCAAACACAATTAAAATCAAGGTAGGTAATGATACGTCACGGGAAAGTGATGACGTATACGACGTACCTGTGGATCGAGGGTGCAGTATCGCGATCAGAAACGGTGGTGTGCCGTTCGGCGGAGTTAGCGGACGCGGTTCGACTGACTGGGAAAGACGAGACTATGGCCGATTCTAAACATAGAAACGATACAAGACTGCTCAGATATCAGACGAGAGGAATATTCGAGTTGCAGTGGGTACGGTCGTCGATTTAATCAAAATAAAATCTACCACGCGATTTTTGTTACGCTCCTAATCGAATTCCGTTCGCGCTAATGAATCACGGCCTGTTTTTAATAGATGTACTTTGAAGATTTGCATCAAAGGATCAGAGGATTGTTGGACAGGTTCATTAACCACAATAATACTTTACAAAACCATTATATAAGTAAAATAAAATGAGAACCAACTCATAGCCATGTACATAGTCTTGTACGTTATACCGGGAATGTAATAACATTATTTCATCTGAAGGGAAAAACGAGCGACTCTGCCAAGAAATCTCAATAAACAATTAAAAAGCGGTTTATAGCAGCAAAAGTTTTTTAATTATTACAAATGCAAATCTACACAAATCTGCAAACAGCAGGGAAAGTGGTCAAAATTGAAATTACTTAAAATAATATCCTCTCCTGTTGAAACGTACTTTTAGATATTATTTTTCAAATTATCCACCCTGCTCACATAGAAGTATCCATACAAACTCATGGATTATATACGTAATAGGTATGAAAATCATGGTCAGTGTTGGAGAATCAAAAAAGGACACACTTATATGTTAAATAAAATTAATGGTATAGCGGTATATCGTATTAATGTCTAATATTTAAGAAATAGGTATAAATAAAAAACTTACTGATTTATTTATAAATTATGGATTTCCATCTCTTTCTTTTCTGCTGTGTCAGATTCGTTATCTGGCCCAATTGGAATGATTATACATTGACAAAGTTCTGTAATGTTATTATCAATAGGTCACAATCGTTATTCCTCTTCTTTTACGTAATTTATGGTATTGGTTTAGCTACCTTTCGTTATGTTTTTTATGGAATTTATTAAAAGTTGTTCGACATCTTTAAATTTAAAATTTTTATTTTATCTGGCCACTTCATCTTTTACTTCAGCCATTATTAACTCTATTATAGGATTTAGTTGACAATTATAAGGTGGTAAACATTGCCTTGCAATTCGTAATAATTCCGTTTTAAGCATAGACTGATCATCCGGTTGTGTTTTGGGTTGGAGCCAGTCAATTATATCTTCTTTTTTACATGAGACCGTCGGTAACTTTTCCAGTAATTTTTAGCAATAGTCGAAAACAACGCCAGCTATTGCTGTAGTTATTATTAGCATTATTTGGTAGAAAATTCAATATCTGAGAAAAGTAATCTTTAAAATCATTGGAGTTCGTGGTAATCTTTGTAGATTTTGAAACAAACTTAGAAAAACTAATCTCGATTAAACCATGTTCGCTACCAATGTGCGTGATTAATAATCTGCAAACCTTTTCGCGGGAGCATTTAAACCAATAGAAGCTTGCCCTACTTGCCAGAATCTAAACTTTCAATAGATTAGAGAATGGGGGTCAATTATATTTATTCTCCTTTTTCCTCAGCTTTTCCTTATTTAGGGGTTGCTGTTTCTTAATATTCTTCTTCACCTATTTCTTTTCTTCATGTATACTTCATTTAAACCTTTCTCTCCCAAGTCCTCTGCTACGCAGTGCTATTATCTTTTTTTTTCTTGGTTTTTCTCTGCATCTCTTTTCCTCAATTTCTAACAGATTTACTTTTTGTTAACTTTTCTACAGCAATTGCAGTCTATTTTTTAAAAATATTTTATAAGACTGTAGTCACCCCGGCTCTTTTTCTAATTTCGTCGTTCCTGATGTTGATATTCTTTTCCTGAAATTTTATTAAGGCCACACTTTACCACACATTCCATTCTTAAAATTTTTTGCTTTTAGACAATGACCTTGCCTTTTAGACCACAGAGTAACCCTTATTCGCTTCCATTTACACCAATCACCATATATTCTGTCGACTACTTCTCGATCTAGTGTCCCATTTTTCGTTATATACGAAACAATACATTTAAATTCTCATACTCGTTCTAGTTTTTCCCAAGCAATTCGATGTCCGCAACCATTCTTGTTTCTCTTAACCACATATACTCCATTTTCAACCTGTTGATGTTAAGTTTATAAACAGATTAGAAGCTTTCGAAATGTGGCTTTATCGCCGTATCCTAAAAATACCATGGACAGCGAAAATCACAAATATAGATGTCCTTAAAAGAATAAACCAAGAACGCCAACTTTTCGAAACCATCAAGAAAAGAAAAACGGCGTATCTAGGTCACATCATGCGAAATGAAAAATACCAGTTCCTCCAACTTATAATCGAAGGTAAAAATTGAAGTCAAGAGGGGAATGGGATGCAAGAAAATGTCCTGGCTCCGAAACATAAGGCAATGGACAGGGATTAACCACATACAATCTCTGATACATATTGCAAGAAGTAGAGAATTAATGGAAAATGTGATCGCTAACATCCATTAGTGGATTTGCATCTGAAGAAGAAGAAGATCTTACGTTCTCCCTCTTTAATAGCCCTTCTCCAACCCTTTACCATGTCTTTGCTTCTCTCTACTAACGTAATATCATCCGAAGAGAGTATTGTCTTAGGAGATCCCTCCTTTATTTTATCTTTTAATACATCCATAGACTCAATAAGTACCATTGTACCCCTAAAGTAAACCAACTGTCCCTAGAAAACTTTCGTTTAATCTAGCATAAGTCCTTACTTTGGTGTACGCTCCCTCATACATATCCTTCACGAGCATTAACTACTTCTCAGGAACAAATTTCTCTCTTATACATCTTCATGCCTCTTGTTTAGGAACTGTGTCGTACGCTTTTTTAAGATCTATAAATAATAGCTCTCTTTCTTCTCACCGTATTTATCTATCAAGTGTTTTCATTTTTATTGTGTTAAATTTTACCCCTTTATAATTTTTACAGTCCTAAATGTCCCCTTTATTAACTTTATACACTGGTACCAGTACGTTCTTCCTCCATGCATTGGCCATCCTTGTTTCCGCGTATATCCTTATCATTTGGCACAAAACACTAACTACTTCCTTTTCTAGCGCCTTCCAAACCTCTGACATCAGTACGTTTTTCATCCATGCATTGGCCGTCCTTGTTTCCGCGTATATCCTTTTTATCATTTGGTACAAAACACTAACTACTTCCTTTCCTAGCGCCTTCCAAACCTCTGATATCAGGTCCTGCTACCTTACCAGCTTTCATCCAGTTTTATTTAAACATCGCATTTTAACAGTGTTTTATCGGTACTCTTAATCAATTGATATAAGGTTGAACGCTCGAATAAATGAACTTTGATCAAGTAAAAGGAAATAATCGAGCACAGTTTAATTAATTTAATCTTGCCCAAGTACTTTCGCTCCCTAGAGCATCTTCAGGGGCATTTCGTCAAATGCCCAAATGTCGGATAGGCTACATTTGACGATTGACGATTAATTAAACTGTGCTCGATATTTGCCTTTTACTTGATCAGAGTACTCTTAATCTGCCAGACTTGAGTTACTTTAAAAGTCCTTTGATGACTTGTCCTTTACTTTAGCAATGTTGTTATAATCTTTTCATCTCCCCATGTGCTTTCCACTCTTTAAAATTTTCTTACAGCAAAGCTTTATAAAATCTTCCTAGCAATTCCTCACCCCCTCGTACCACAACTTTGCTGTTAGCGTCAACAATTATTTATCGTATCTTCTTCCATAAACTTTACCAGGAGTCTAATCTTGAAGACTTTTACAAATACTTATCTTATAACCTCCACTACTTTACTTTCTGATTTGCTCTATGCTTTCCATTCCGCCTAATCTTTATCTCTATATCCACTATCATCCATCGGTGTTGACTAGTTATAAACTTTCCCTTTATTATTTCACAGGTAGAGCTACTTATAGTTATACAAGCCCTAAAACTGGAATATGTAGATATATCCTGTGTAACCAGGAGAAATCCTTAAATTCACATAAGAAAGTTAATGGCTTTTATGTAAAACACAGGACTTGTTGGTCATGTTTAATTAAAAAACAGGGTTTGGTGTAAAAATCTCATGACTAAGTATTACAGAAAACACTGTCTCATCTAGGGGAAGAAGAGGAAGGATAGAACAAACAGCAACTCAATGTAATTCTTTCTTTATTATGAATTTGTGCGATATCTTATTTTAATATAAGCAAATTTGTTTTCATTAATGGTTTTACCTAGAACAACGTTATCTTTATTTTTTAGAGAAACGTCTAAAGAAATGAGTTTTCCTTAAGTCGACATAAAATATGTATAGCACATAGTGTTTAATTATTAACGCCTTATCTGCTTTTCAGTTATTTGTGCTACATATTTATGTATAGTGCTGTTATAATTCATGTGTTGGAAAAATGATTTCAGGAAAAATAATCTTACTAAATAATCTTTAGAAAAACTAAATCGAAATTGGTATGTTATATGTCGTAGGAGGGATTTACGTAATATTTTTCACATCACTCTTCCAGAAATAGTCGCGTAAAATTATAACAACTCAGTGAATGCTCTATTTTTAATTTTCCATGTGTTGACTACTGTAAATCGATTCATAAAAAACTATACTGTCAGACCAAAAAATAAGCAATTTTTAATCAGGTCCGGAACAATAATTTTAACTAAATGTGAATATCTGTACGGCTAGCTTACATGAATTGTTTGATTACACTATTAGTTTTATCCAATACATTGATAATACTTTGTTTTGTTAGCGCCATAAATCATACGAGAAATATTTAAAATAATTACGATATATTATGTACCTACTGTATTAAACGTTGGTTAATTAGGCTTAAGTGTAGCTTAAGAAAAATCAGCTACCCTATGTTTCACTAGACACAGGATAATATCACCATTGGTGGCTACAGTATACCTATTGTTGATCATTACATATATTTGGGTATTGTGTTAGACAAAAAATTAATATGGTCTAAACATATCTACTACCTACAAGCAAGATGTAAGAAAGGGGTAAATGCACTTAAAATTACATCCTTACAAAAATGG